GAGGTGATTGAAAATGCCATGGCTTGGGTTAGGCGCACCTTTGTCTTCAAAGTGACATCTTTGTTCTTTAACACTTTAAAGAGGTCCCTTGCAACAACACATTTGCTGAGTACAATAAGACATCTGATATCTTGATTGCTGCTGCTATGAGTATTCATTGTAGATCCAAGTAAAATGAAATCTCTGACAACTTCAATTTTTTCTCCTTTTATCATGATGTTCATTATTTTTCCAGTTGTGAGGATTTTCATTATCTTTATGTTGAAGTATAATCCATACTGATGATTGTACTCTTTAATCTTCATGAGTAAGTGCTTCAAATCCTCTTTACTTTCAACAAGCAAGGTTGTGTCACACGTTTTTCATGAGTCTTCCTCCAATCTTGATGCCACATTCTTCTTCATATAGTCCAGCTTCTCAGATTATTAGCTTGTCATACAGATTGAATAAGTATGGTGAAAGGGTACAACCCTAGCACACACACTTCTTGATTTTAAACCATGTAGTATTCCCGTTACGTTCAAACGACAGCCTTCTGGTCTATGTACAGGTTCCTCATGAGCACAATTAAGTGTTCTGGAACACTTATTCTTCAGAATGTTATCCATAATTTGCTATGATTCACACAGTCAAATGCCTTTGCATAGTCAGTAAAACATTGGTAGACATCTTTCTGGTATTCAGTGCTTTTGGCTAATATCCATATAATATCAGCAATGATATCCCTCATTGTATGTTCTCTTCTGAATCCAGCTTGAATTTCTGGCAGTTCCAGTCAATATACTACTGCAACCATTTTTTAAACTATCTTCAGCAATCTTTTACTTGCATGTGATATTAATTATATGGTTCAGTAATTTCCACATTCTGTTGGATCACCATTCTTTGGAATGGGCACAGATATGGAACTCTTCCAGTTTGGCAAGGTAACTGTCTTCCAAATTTCTTGGTATAAATGAGTCAGCACCTCCAGCACTTGCATCTGTTTGTTGAAACATTTCAGTGGGTACTCCGTCAATTCCTGGAGCCTTATTTTTTGCCAGTTCCCTCAGTTCAGCTTGAAATTCTTCCTTCAGTACCATCAGTTCTTGATCATATGCTTTCTCCTGAAATAGCTGAACATCGACCAATTGTTTGGGTACAGTGACTCAGTATTCCTACCATCTTCTTTTGATGCTTCCTGCATCATTAAATATTTTTCCCATAAAATCCTTCAGTATTCCAACTGAAGCCTTGAACTTTTTCTTCAGTTTTTCAGCTTGAGGATTGCTGAGCATGTTCTTCCCTTTTGCTTTTCTAACTCTAAGTCTTTGCACATTTCATTATAAAAAGCAAACACATTGCTGTAAAGTCAGATCCGACTTGTAGCAACCACTCATTCAGCTTCCAAGGCAGTATCACTATTGAAATAGATTGCCCAACCTTTCTTCTGAGGAGTGCTGGTGGATGTAAATGACTTTATCTAATCTTCTGTTCAGCTCTTTCATCTTGTCATGTCTTCCATTTGTTTTGGATACTCTTCATTCAAGAGCAAGTTTCAGAGTCTCTTCTGATTTCCATTTTGGTCTTTTCTTCCATTCCAGCCTTTTTAGTGATTTTTTGCTTTCTTCATGTATAATGTACTTGATGTCATCCCACAGTTCCTATGGATTCAATCATTGGTGTTCAGTGCATCAGATCTCCTCTTTAGATGGTCTCTAAATTCAGGTGGGATATAATGAAGGTCATATTTTGGCTCTCATGGACTTGTTTTAATTTTCTTCATTTTCAGCTTGGACTTGTAGAGCAGTTGATGATCTGATCCACAGTCATTTCCTGGACTTTTTTTGACTAATGATATTGAGCTTCTTGATTACCTCTTTTCACAGATGTAGTTGATTTGATTCCTTTGTAATCCATCTGGCAAGGTCCACATATATAGCTGCCATTTCTGTTGTTGAAAAAAGTTATTAGCAATGAATAAGTCATTGGTCTTATAAAATTTTATCGTATGGTCCCCAGCATCATTTCTGTCACCAAGGACATATTTTCCAACCACCCTTGATACTTCTGTGTTCCCAACTTTCACATCCCAGTCAATGGGTAATAATCAATATATCTTGACTGCATGTTTGGTGAATTTCAAACTGTAGAAGTTGGTAACACTCTTTAATTTCTTTATCTTTGGCTTTAGTGGTTGGTAAGTAAATTTGAGTAATCGCAGTTTTAACTGGTCTTCCTTGTAGTAGTATGCATATTATACTGTCACTGACAGCATTATATTTCAGGGTATATCTTGAAATGTTCTTTTTGATGATGAATTCAACAACATTACTCTTTAGTTTGTCATTCCCAAAATAGTAGATCATATGACTGTCTGATGTGAAACGGCCAATACTAGTTCATTTCAGCTCACTAATGCCTAGGATATCAACCTTTATCCATTCCATTTTATTTTTGACACCTTCCCAATTTTCCTAGATTAATGCTACATACATTCCATATTCTGATCATTAATGAATGTTTGCAACTGTTTCTTTACATTTTGAGTTGTGTCCCATCAGCAAATGAAGGTCCTGAAAGCTTTAATCTATCTTAAGTTATTAAGGTAGACTCTACTTTGAGGAGGAAGCTCTTCCCCCAGTCATAGTTTGGGTGCCATCCACCCTGAGGGGCTCATCTTTCGTCACTGTATTAGACAGTGTTTCAGGGTTATTCATGACGTTTTCCAGTAATAGTGTTTCACTGCTACTCATAAGGTTTTCACTGGCTATTTTTTTCCTAAGTGGATGGACCTTTCTTACTTCCCAGTTTGTCTTAGTCTGGAGGCCCCTCTGATACCCATCCACCATGGGTGACCCTGCAGTGTTTGAAATACCTGTGGCATACTCTCCAGCCTCATAGCAACACATAAGCCACCACAGTAGGAAAACTGACAGACAAATAGTGGAACAGTACATTACTCTAAAAAAAAAAACTCTCTACCATCGAGTCGATTCAACTCATAGTGACCCCTTCTTGGGTTTCCAAGACAGTGTCTCTATAGAAGCAGATTGCCCAATCTTACTTCTGAGGAGTGGCTGGTGGGTTTGAACCACAAGCCTTCTGGTTAGCAGTCAAATGCCTTAGGCACTACACCACCAGAGCTCCTGAATAGTACATTAGTTTTTTAAAAACATTTTCCAGGTGTCAATAAATCAACCACCTAGCACACTATCTGGCACGTATGAAATAATATTTGAATTTTAATTTTGTTTTTCCTTTCCCCTACATCCATTACTTGACTTATTTTGTTCTTTTCTCCTTCTTGTCCACTTTTTTCTTCTGCTTTTTAGAATTCTTACTCACCTTCACACAAAAACACACTGCCGTCAAGTTGGAAACAACTCATAGTGACCCCTCCTTGGATTTCCAAGGCACTATCAGTACGAAAGTGGATTGCCCAGGCTTCCTTCTGAGGAGCAATAATGCTCATATTACCTACATAGTTTGAATTTTGTTAGAAGTAGTACTAGTTCCAGAGCAAGCTTCCTTTTGGATTAGGAATACAAACTGCCCAGCTTCTCTGCCCAGCTTCTCAATAGCATTTTATGGTGCACTGCTGTGTAACAAGTTCATTTTTGGATAACATGCTGGGAGGGAGAAAAGGAAGACAGGATTGGAGTGGAGAAAATTAAAAAGTTAATTAAAAGAAAGAGCTTGATAATTGAATTCTCTTGTGTTGTTATTTGGTTTTTCGGATTGTCACAATGTGTGCTTGGTAGGTTTGCTTCAGTGGCTCACTTCAAAACTTCTAAATATGAGAAATGTGAGAGTTTAGAGAAAATTTCTGACTGACAGATGAGAAGAGGCATAGGATATACATGGTAGCTTTTTAGGCATCCCAAACAGAGCTGCCCTCATATGCACACTTGAGCATTTTTATTTTGAATATTCTTGGCAATTGATATTGCAGTTTGCCAAGCCTTGAACTGATAGCAGCTATGTTTAAGAGCATACACAGTTCTTTCATTGACTGTTATGTGTGCTATTTCTTTTACTTACCGTGTATGCACACCCACACAGGCACACACCTGGAGATACTATAGGCAGTTCATTTACTCTTTTCAGATTGTGTGAGCTCTGGTGACATAGTGTTTAAGGAATTCTGTTGCTAGCCAGAAAGTTGGCAGTTCAAACCCTTCAGCCATTTTTCAGGAAACTGATTAGGCGATCTGCCCTTGTAAAGATTTATAGTCTTAGAAACCCCATGAGGCTGTTTCACTCCATCCTATAGAGTCACTGTGAGTCAGAATTGACTCAGTGGCAGTAGGTTTGGGTTTCAGACTGTAATAACAAATGGATGATATGGGTCTTTGTTTCTTATTTTAAAAGAAGCTTGAAGCTTTATCTATTTAATCTTTCCTTAACACAGATCACTTAAAATTGTACACAGTTTATTTGAGACATTATCTTTGAGAGAGACAAAATTCCACTGGGACTTGGGAGTCAAGTGGAACTAGGTTCAGATCGTCACCATGCAGTTTACAACCTTCATTCATACAGTCAACAAACATGTATGGAACACCTGTGTCTGTTAGGCACTGTTGATAACTTTATGCAAGTTCTAACAAGGCTTTATTATCATCATTTTTTTTCAGACTTTGAAAATTAACTTTAGAGATAGACTTTTTTCAAGCAATTCATTCTCATCCCTCTTGCAGCAAATTCATTGACGAAAGATACACATGGTTAAACAATATATTACCTTATTCACTAAATTAGCCTAAATCAGATTACTGATGTGCATCCAATCTGAAAATAAACTTGTAGAAAAGGTGAAATTTACTACTTTATGTCTAGAGATATTCTAGGAACTTTTCCAAAAATTTAAGGACCATTCTCTTGAGAAACTTCATGTTCAGCCAGGACCATTTGTAGGAAGAAATAAATGCAAGTTCGACTGCAAACACCACATTTCACAAGCATGATAAAGATGTAGCTTTTTGGGAGTATTAACAAGGGGCTTTGTGTTTTCACAGGTTATGGTTTTGTAGATTTTGACAGTCCCGCAGCTGCACAGAAAGCAGTAGCATCTCTCAAGGCAAATGGCGTGCAGGCACAAATGGCCAAGGTAAGTAAGACTGGTGTTTTGATTCTGCTTTTTGTTTTCTTTTGTGATCAAATGTTTCTCCTTTGCTATAAGGTGACTGAGAAATAGAGTTTGTAACAGTTTGGGTTATATTTACTTGTTGAGGGGTAGGGAAATCCCACAATTGGTTTGACTTGGAAGAATCTGACTTGTATATTAGGTTGTTTCTTTGTGTGTTATTAAGGTTTTCTTTTGTTATGGTAACCTTTTTAGTAATTTAAAGTTAAACTCTGAAAAGTTTTGCCTGAAAATGGAGTACTGTTTGTGTGTGTGTGTGTGTGTGCAGATGCATCCAGGGTTTTCACTAGTAAATAAATAGTAAACAAGTTGTCTTTCATGCATCGTGCATTACAATAGCTCACTGTCATGTTTGGGAGACATGATTCTTTAATGATGGGATTGTCTGATCTGTAAAAGAAAATGAGTTTGGCCGTCTTGTACATTGTCTATATTTCTAGAATTCCACTTTGGTCTTTACACATAGCATTTACTAGATACTGATAATTGGCATTTATTTAAAATTACAAAGAAATGTCTTGTTGTGGGGGGAAAAACTATAAAGACACTATTTGCTGTCTATTTAGCAGCTTGTGATATAGTCTAGAGCTTTTATCTGAAATTATAATACATTTTTATATCCAAGAAAATGAATAAACTCACTTAATTTTTCTATATCCTGTGTGGTAGTGGTTATAGGAATCTACACATATCATGTAATGACATAATACTGCATGCACACATTAATTAATTAATTAATTAATTTCCTGGCTTTGATATTTTACTGTAGGTATGTATGATGTAACTATGAGGAGAAACTTGGAGAAAGGTACCCTAGACAGCTGGGTACTATCTGTACAACTTTGCACAGATGTATAATCTTGTGAAAAGTTAAAAACCACGTATAACATATGGATGCTTGGTAGACATTTAGGCGCCCTGGTGGTATAGTGCCCAAGGCATTTGACTGCTAACCTGAAAGATGATGGTTCAAGCCCACTAGCCACTCCTTAGAAGGAAGTTTGGGCAATCTACTTCCATAGTGATACTGTCTCAGAAACCCAAGGAGTGGTCCCTGTGAGTCGGATCTGAATCAGTGGCAGTGAGTGAGTGGTAGATACTTGCTTTAAAATAATGATTGCATGGGGTTTGTTCACCTGCAATTTATTTTTAAAACATTCTTCTTGATTAGTCAATTTGCTTATATACAGCTTCTCCAAACTTTAGGTAAAATAACTAAGAGATTGTGAAATCTTGAGCATTTCTGTCTGATTAATGTATCAAATTATCCATAACTAAAACCATAAAATATGACTGATACATATGAGTAAATGATGATGTTGTCAAGTTTGTAATCATTTGGATATTGGGATGATTGCTAGCGTTCTCTGATACCATTTTCCACTTTCAACTTCAGATAACTAGAGGTAGATATTTGTTTTTCTCTAATGACTTCAGTTGTCTTATAGCAAGTTGGTATTGCCCATAACTGTTAAATCTTTTGCTGTGTGTCACTTTCCATATAGATTGCGTTGGTGGACTCATTGCTCTTTAGGACACATTGATTGTTTTCCAAGGAGGTATAAATTAGAATTTGAATTCTTTCAGCTGTGTATCATCTTCCTCTCTCAAGATTATACATGGAAGCTTTGGATTTATTTGGTCAAGAACTCAGAATGAAGGAGTTAATATTTTGAATTAATAAGAAAATTATATAAGTGCCTTAGTTAAAAAAAAAGTTGCTTGGCAAAGATTAAGAGACAAATTTATAAAGTAGTGACTTTCTTACCCCAGGAACAAATGATAAAATATAGTTGTTAGGAATAGGCAAAGTTTAAAACTTGAATATGAACTGAAAGGTAACACACATTGATGAAAAAATATTGTAAAAATGCTTAATTAAAAAAATGGTATTCAAATTTCTTTTGTCTGTTGGTAAATTCTCAAACTTGAGAAATAGCTAGATTGCAGTAGTATAGGAATAATAGATATGGTGTTTCATTATTTCTGTACAGTTTGCTCTATGGAATCTTCACTGTTTCAAATATTCTCAGATTTATGTTTGTTTATACACACACCCACCCCAATCAGTGACAGCTCATGTACTCAGGAGGCTATCAAAGGGAAAACATTTTAAATAGCTTGCTGCTGTTGTTGTTAGGTGCCAACAAGTCAGCTCCAACTCATAGTGACCCTGTGTCGCAAGCACTGCTGTCGAGTCGGATCTAACTCATAGCAACCCCTCCTTGGGTTTCCAAGGTGATATCACTGTAGAAATAGATTGCCTAACCTTCCTTCTGAGGAGTGGCTGGAGGGTTTGAACCGCCAGCCTTCTGGTTAGCAGCCAGATGCCTTAGGCACTATGCCATCAGTGATCCTATGTACAATAGAACAAAACACTGCCTGGTAAAGTGCCAGCCTCACGATGCTTGCTATGCCTGAGCCCATCGTTGTAGCCACTGTGTCAATCCATCTCATTAAGGATCTTCCCCTTTTTCACTGACCCTCCACTTACTAAATTAATAATCATTTCAATCTACATTTTGGCCTTTGTCACATGCCCAGGATATACAGTAAGGCAATTCAGATTGGAATGTGGAAAGACACTTATTTTATTTCTAGAATTGTTCGAAGATTTTATACTTATCAATTCAGCTGTTTTTGAAGTAAATTCTTCCCTCTTTTCTCACTAACTTTGAATCTAAAACTCAGAGCTTTAGGTTCACATCTGCCTACTAGAAAACTTTCAGCAGTAAATGGCCCTGTAATTTAACTACCCAGAAGCAAATAAATAGTCTCCCTTTGACAATGAAATAGAACAAGGTTTACCACCTGTATTAGCAGATTTCTGACTGAGCGATTGGATTTCATGGCATTTTTCCCCCTTTGTCCTGGTGATAACTATTATTTATTATCATATAAACCTGCAGTCTGCAGGGTGTGTGGAACTTGCACTGTATTTTTTGCCCATTTAAGTATCTGCTGAATCACCTCCTGCATCCTCGTTATTTATCAGTATCCTGCTGTGCAAGTTGTGGTTCCACACTTTAATGACTCCAGAATTTTAAGACAAAAAAAATACTATGAATAACCTAAGTTTGTAATAACAACCTGGAGTGAACACAAGACCCTCTAAGAGACTCACGTTGTTGAGCTAACTTATTCCTATATACACTACACATATGAGAAAGTCAACTGATTTGTCAGCCAAGAGGAATTTAATAATAAATCATCCAGTAAGTGGTAATTGATTAATAATGAATAACCATTAACACAGACTAATGTTTTCTATATGCTTGCTGTTCTGCCAAAAAGACTTTTAGGAATCAAAGGATATGTTTCTTTAGGAGAGCAGATTAAGATGACTTCAGTAATATGTAGTGGTTAAGAGCGTACGCTTAGAAGGAAATCAACTAGGCCTAGAATGCAGGCTCTGGTACTTCCTGGCTGTGTAACCCTGGCTAAGTTATTGAAACATTTCTGACACTCATTGATAGTAATACCCAGGTTATAATATTGTTGTGAGAATTAATAAAACAATGCACAAAGAACTCAGCATAATGCCTGACTTATAGTAAAAATTTAAAAGGTGTTAATAACTCTTATTAGTTGTCGTTATGCATGAAGTTAAAACATGCTACTGTAGTTTCTTTAAACTCTAATGTATGTTTTAATTTTTATTTTATTACAAAATAGTTTCTTGAGGACTATGATAAATAGTATCAACCAACAAACATTTTTATATGCCTACTATGTGCCAATAATTTTTCTAAGTATTAGGGAATCACTGTTGACTAAAACCTTTTTATTATTCTGAATTTTTAACATCTGGTCTATCTCATGTGATTGTCAGAATTTTGGCTATTCCCTTCTTCTTGCCAACCTCAGAGTGGCTATAAGAAAGTCAATGGTCAAGGAAAATGAGCCTCTGTAAGCATTAAAAAAAAAGAGAGAAGGAGATAAGAGAAGAAAAACCAACTAACAAAAGGTTTTTAACATTATAGGTGTTTATTTTACGCATGTAGTAAGAAAGAAGCCATAAATAGGCAATGAAGGGCAAATGCTTAAGGGTGTCATTAAGGAACAAGGCTCCTTTTGTCCTCTTAATTTATTATCCTTAATGTAAGGTTTTCATCAATGTATTTACATGTTGGCTTCTAGAGTTCCACTTATTGCATCCATATTCAAGCCATAAAAGAGAAAAGGAAAAAAGGCTGAAGGAATATTATGGCTGATTCTGTTCTTTTAACGGTTTTCCCAAAATCCTAACCCAGCAACTTATGCTTCCATCTCAGTGGCCAAAACTGAGTCAAGCAAGTGGTTTCCAGGGTATCTAAGTGGTCTTAACCAGTTCGGTCATGGCTGATGAAACGAAAGGGGAAGAAATCCAGATTTCTAAAATTTGGGTGAACAAGAATCATAATCACAGTATAAAACATTTCAGGTTGAAGCCCAGGAATGGGGGAGTCGGAAATGATGTAGCGAGCCCTTTAAGGAGTCTGATGTAGGAGATTGGATTATTGATGAAAGTACAGAGAACAACACACATTCAAAGTGCACAATTGGCCACCATTTTTGGGCCAGGGGCTGCTGTTTTCCACTTGGTTCTAAGAAGGAGATTACATTTCTAGCAGGGCTACAACCTGTAATTTTTCGCATTCCGGTTATCACTCTAGCTCATCCAAATTTCAAAATTACTAGCTGTTCTAGTGTCACTCTCTTGGCCATTATGGAACTGGGCAGAACTGGTTTGAAGCCCTAGTGGTTTCCCCTTAGCTGCAGGAGAGGCTGGGATGATGAGTACTTCAACTTCTTTGTGTATGTCATAGAAAACTAAGACTAGTTCATCCCTTTGGCCACAAACATTCATGACACCCTTTCTTCCCAAACATACCTTTTGAGAGGCAGGCAATCATTCCTTCCCCAAGGGAAACTACCTCAAAAGTTCATCCTGTTATCACCTCCACTGATGCAGTCATCTCTAG